TTTCCCACATTCCAGATGCCTAAGAATAGTCCTGCCATGCACTGCCCTTGGCTTTCTAGTATCATTCTTCTGCTTTGAATATACCAGGTGGGGATGGGGTATGGGGGCTATTTTGCTTTCAGGGTTTGGAGTAGGGTGCACTGTCCAGGACTGGGATGGGGCTGTGATTGTGGGGGGTGGGATGAGGTGGGGCAGAGGTTGCTTGAGGATTGAATACGGTGACTGCTTGTGCTGTGAGACTCAGAGTCACTTGGCGCCCATAGACTTTCCCCAGGGGTCAGATCAGATGGGCGTGGGGGAGAGTCCTGGAGTGCCACATGCAAGCTTCTCTACATTCATCCAGAATTTTGTGTGTAGGGTGGCAATGCATGGTGAGGAAATGGGACAACTCCTCATAGAAGGGCATACTGTGACTCCTGCTCCTGGACTTTTTATTTGTGTCATGCATGTGCTTGTACTGGATCTTCATCCATTTCATCTTGGCTCAGCACTGCACCTAGTCTTTGTTGTGGCCCCATGTTAGCATCTGTTGGGCAACGCGCTTGAACATGTCCCTGTTGTGGGGCTCTTCATGGAGCTAGTACTGGGTCTTCTCCTTACCTCTGATGGTGATGAGTTTTCTCATCTCCCCATAGTCCCAGTTGTGTGATTGGCATTGGATACTGGAGAAGGATGGGACAGATTTTTCCATGGTCCATGGCAGTGCTCAGAGGGTCTTGGCATCTCTGGGTGGATGGGGGTCTGGCTATAAGGAGGTGGATAGAAGGATGGATGGAAGGAATGGTGGGTATGCATAGGTGTGGGTCCCAGCACATGAGTCACCCTTTCAGTGCAGATGGATGCAGCCTCTGCTTCAGTGTGACTGCGGTGCCACTGGATAGGCCACTCCCATGACCTCAACCTTTCCAGGGGCTTCCAGCAGATGCTCCATGATGCTGGCAATACCCCATGTTCCTGGCCTGGAAATTTCCAGTGTTCTCTACCTGCAGCATTGAGGCAGCTGGCCACATGTCACCTGCTCCTGAAGTTGCCAGAAGCATCTGCCTAACTGTAATCTAACTTGAATCAATAGGGAAACAGTATAGAAGTTTGATGCATTGGTCTAACCTAAATCAACCTGAACTGAGTGTGCCTCTCACCAGGTCTATCTTAGATTGCTTGCACCATTTTTAGACCAATCTATGTATGCTGAACTTCTATATGAGTATGGGTTTAAATCGATCTACGTTCACTTAGACTGGTCTAAATGTAATGTCTGTGTGTGCCTATATAGACCTTTTATGAGACAGAATCCAAGTCACTGGCCCTTTTTGTATCCCCATTTCCTCTTCTGTACAATGGGGGTGATAGTAAAGGGGTAGTTTGAAGGTTGCTTTATGAATGTTTGTAAAGAGTGTTGGACCTCAAAGATGGAAATTGCTGTGGAAGTACACATCATCGTAATATGATATCACACACAATATGTAAAATCTATTTTCCTCCATATTCCTTCTTACCAATGTTTCATTTGAACATGTTTGCAGAAATGTCTCACTCAGATGTTAATGGTCCAAAAGTATGGAGTCAGTTTCCCAGAAAATGGTAGAATGAAGATCTGTGAAAATATGGAATGCATCTGGGAAGGTATGTTGCTGGCACAGTGAAAACTACCAGTACACACTGGACAGTTGTTTTCTATTTCTATTTCTAGTATTTCTATGTTCTGAACTCGAGTTGTCAGCAGTTAGGGCTTGATCCAAACCATGTAATTAATGGGAGTTTTACTGTTTACATCTTTGGGCTTTAGAGCACACCAGCAATATCTGACAGCTCTGAATAGCCATGCTGATAAGCAAAATCGTCCCTTCCTGAATCAAGCTTTCAGAGAGATGTCTCAAGAGTTTTTTCAAGATACTTAAGTGGGAAGATTTCCTCTTTTCTGTCAGTGATTTTTTTTTGCTTCACTAATTTTAACTAGTTAGAGGGTGAAAGAACTATTTTTAATTCCATGGCCCTAAATATGGGCTCTTCCAATGTGAGACACTAAGAAGATGGCATTTAGCCCATCTACAAAGACAGCCGTAGGTAGTTGTTAGCCCCAGTTGTTAGCTTAATTTGGGTAATCTTCCTTGGTATTTTGATTGTCTTTGTGAAACTTTGAAACCTGGCCATGTGAATTGTGACCATCTAGGCCACTCATTTATCTCACAATAAATCGTCATAAATTTATCATGCGATAAATTGTAACATGCCATGCATTTTTAACAATTTATCACCTGATAATGAACCACAAAAACGGTGATCCAGCCTCAGAGATGTTACTTGTTAAATGTAGAATAACTTGAAACTCATTTGCATCACATTTTCATTTGAATATGTGACATGTTACTTATAGGGTAATAGTGTTTGGCCAGGTCCTCCAGCATCCCAGGGTAGACTGCCATCAACTCTCACTCTCCTACTTCATGCAAGTCAGCATAAATCACTTCTGCGACTTTTACTCAACTCTGTTGCCCTAGAGTGCCTCAGCAGATGTCGACCTTCAAAGATGCTTTTTAAGGAGCAATTTAGCATCTCTTCATATAAGAACCAGAGAGTAAACAAACACTGACATGCTTTACTTGTACACAATAGGAATCTGAAAGGAGGAGGGAATTTGTTTGGAAAAATTTCAGGAGGGCAAGAAAAGGAGAGAGAAAAGCACATACACAGAAGCAAGGTGTCCTAGGAGAGTTTGAGCTCCAATCTTCTGCTTCCCTTCACATGGGTCTCTCCTACTCTGTGCATGGGTCAGGGGAGCATCTCCTCCACCTAGGGGGGAGCTCAGCTGTATTGCTCAGAGCTCACTTCTCATTAGCAGCATAGTTGAAGATGGGGGAATGACAGCTTCTGCCAGCAGTTCTCCAGCTCCCTTTGCTGGTGATTGCTGGCAGAGCAAGTCCCCAGGGTGTTTTCTCCTCTCTGGATAGACTGCCTGAATAAGAATCAGGTTATATGGCGTGACAGTTTCTATCCAGCAATATTACCTATTGCTTGATGGAAATTACATCTGCCAGACTCCAGAGCAACAAGAATCCCTCTGCCTCTGCAGCTTTGCACACAAACACAGGCACTTGGTAATGCCACAGACAGAAACAACTTTCTATGGCTGCAGCAACTCCATGTGCCTTCAAAAATATAGGGTTTTCAACTCTCAGTAGTGGTTATAAATGCAGTTGGGCAGCTGTGGTTATAAGTCCATTACTGTCATCATTGAGGCAATCACAGTTTGAGGCAATCATGTGAATGTTTTGCTTTCATAGAGTTACCATATTTCCAGTTTCAAAAAAGAGGGTACTTGTTTGGGGGGGGGGCAGTGATATGCCTGTGCCCTGCCCCTGACTCCAAATCACAGCCCCCCCCGCCCTTCCGACTCACAGTACCCGGCCCCACAGACCATGCTGGTGTCCTCACTCCCAACCTGCCGCCC